CAACAGATTCTTTGCGTGTTCATGGTTCTGTATAGAACCATTTTCTTTACTTAAGAACCCTTGAAGAACCATCATTTTTAAGAGTGCACTGTTCACTCCACAGTCCATATATTCAAACTAGCTGCAAAAACAGCATGTTTTGAATTCACTGTTTTCATGATGTCACTTTATCCTCCTATTCTGGCTACATCAGTTTAGCTCCGCCCATTCATGTAGTTTTATATTGATCTTGGTTGTGTTTTAGTTTTTAGTATTACAGTTATTCCAAATATAACAGCAAATGAGCCTCAGAGATTCAGAATCAGAATCCGGATTGTTTTGCACAAGCTATCAGTGCAAAACTGCAAAGCTCACTTTGATGTTAAAGGGAAATTCCACCAATTTTTAAAGTTTCAATATAATGTTAGATAGGTAAGTGAAGGTAAAGAGTGGTTTTATGTGAAATGCTCTATTCTAGAGAAACTCACCGAGTTGTTTACAGTGGAGTGTGATAGGAACCAGACGTCTGAAGTGTTTAAAGGCCCATATAATTTCTTACTTTGTTTAAAAGAAAGGTTTTACCAGAGGTTTTGCACATACACCTTGTTTATAACCTATGAATCTAACACTGGGCCTCGTTCACCAACCACTCTTAAGAAGAAATTTCTTCTTAAACACACTTACGCAGTTTTGACTCACCAATTTTCTCTTATTTGGGATTCGTTCTCAGGTAAGATCAGAATCTACACACACTCAAGAGCACAAAGGTGAGAACAGTTCTGCGCTTTAAGAACACGTCATGAATCTGACGGAGACTTTGTCTCAAGAACACATTTAAGAACAGACTTAGGGAGATATTAGTGAATGAGGCCGGTATTTTATTTGAATTTTAATACTATTTGTCCCTTTTATGCCTCTGTTTTATGTTCTCTAAACCACATTCAGTACTTCTCACCAACTTTCCACAGTTACTGGTTAGCATTATTTGACTTGACCATATTTATTTGTTTGTTTGTTTGTTTGTTTATTGGGAATCTTAGATTTTCAACACACACTTCTAAAAAAGGTGGTTTTTCAAGGGTTCTTTAGTATAGACTATGGTTCTATATATACTATATAAACTATGAGCACTCAAAGAACCCTTCGCATGACTACAGGGTTCTTTAGATGGATGGAGAATGTGCTGTAGCTGGTTCTATATTGAACCCTTTTTGAAAAGCACCAAAAAGCATTCTTCTATTGTTACAATATCAAGCTTGCAACAATAGAGGAACCCTTTTTGGTGCTCTATAAAACCATCTACATAATGTGAAGGGTTCTTTGAGTGCTCAAAGTTCTATATATAACCATTTTCTTTACTATGCTTGAAGAACCATATTTTTTAAGAATGTATGGTTTTTGTAAACCTTTTTCAAAATGGTTCTATAAAGCACTAAAAGGGTTCTGCTATTGCTACAGGCTTGGCATCGTAACAGTATAAGAACTCTTTTTGGTGCTATATAGAACCATATACAACACATTCTCCATCAATCTGGAGAACCATTTTATGATGCAAAGAACCATGTAAGTATGCAAAAAGTTCTTTAGTGTTTAGGGTTCTATATAGAACCACTCTCTTTACTAAAGAACCCTTGAAGATCCATCTTTTTTTAAGAGTGCAGAATTAACTATCTGTGTGAAACTCAGCGATAATTAATCAGTTTATTATTGAGATTCTGTCTAGTGTGTGTCGCAGTGTTGAGGCGAGTAACGTGAGGCAGGTAAGTTCACTGACTCTGTGTCTGAAAGCAGCTGCTACACCTGAACTGAATGCTGTAGTGTAATTATACACGACTCTGTGCTGAACAGACGGGCGCCTCTTACCTTCACCCTTCATCTGATTTATCTTGTTTAAATAAAGGGCCGATTATGATTCAAGAATCTAAAAGGCCAGTTTGGTCAAATAAAGAGCACATAATGCTATTTATATTGAGAGTTTGACTGACAGACACTTCTAAAAATTACTTTTTTTTCTAAAACAATAAAAAAAATCTGCCCATATGGAAGAAAAATATGCATTTGCTCATATCAAAATTACAAATGTACAATATGTTTATTTTTAAAATATTTTAAAACATGGCCGTATATGCACAGATACAGTATGACAACATAGTGAAATATATACGTTTTAATGCACACTTTTAATATTTACATATATGTCAATGGATCAATCGATCAATCAATCAATCAATCAATGAACCTTTATTTTCACTTAGAAATACACTGAGGACAACCCTCGTTTTCAGTGTAGCCGGGCATTTATGTAGAATTAATATATGGAAAAATACTACAAACTTGACACATATTTTGAATAATAATAATAATAATAATAACAATAATGATACAAACATAACACATTTTGAGAAATATATGTACATGTATTTGCTCCTATTAAACATACAAATCTACAATATTTGTTCAATTTTTAAATATTTTACAACGTGCCAGTACATACAGTATGCCAGTATACTGAAATACGTAAATATGTTTTCATTTTTAATATTTCTATATACATCAATACATGGAAATATGTGACAAACTTGACACATATTTTGAAAAATATAATAATAATAATAATAATAATAATAATAATAATAATAATAACACATTTTGAAATATATAGATGGAAATATATTGCACATATGTATGGGCATATATTTTAAACTTCACAAATATATCAAAACATATGTGAATATAAATTATCCAAAAAATCAACAATTGAACAATTAATAATAAAGAATTGAAATAAAAAAGCAGACCATCAGCAGAAATGATGTCAGTAAATGACAGTTTATGTGTTTTGCTGGAAAGAAACTGTTTGCACAGAGAAAATGAGAGAAAAGTGGAGTTACTGGTTTCCTGTCACAGAACTGGAGCAGCTCTGATCGCTATCAGGCTGAGAAATCTCTCTCTCTCTCTCTCTCTCTCTCTCTCTCTCTCTCTCTCTCTCTCTCTCTCTCTCTCTCTCTCTCTCTCTCTCTGTTTGTTTTCGAGCGCAGCGGCCCTTTAATGGAATGTACCATTTCAGCAGGACCGCGGGGGGGGCAGAGCGTTTCATAACTTCGTTGTTTGGTCGTTAGACGCTGAGAAAAAATCTGATGGGGTCCTGATTTATGCAGAATTCTCCTGTTACTCCAAAGCCATCGCCAAACAGTCTGTTGTTAATTTATTAAATACAGACTGGAGCAGCGCACAGAGTACACTGCTTTTTAAATGCTGTCTCTACAGCCAAAGTCTTTGGGACGTGGTTCACACCAGGCCTTATATAAACAAAACATGTATTAGTGTTAAACTGTTGTGTTATGACTAGTCAGAGTTTTCCTGCTGGGTCAGTCCAGCCTGATTGATTATGTATTATACAGTGCTGCAGCTAAGCTAAGCTAATAAGACAAACCTGACACATCTAGCTGTGTGTTTAAAGTGCAGCCTGAGTCTTGGTGACTTTACAATCCTTCCTAAAAAATGCAGCAGGCCTACTTTTGAGTTAAATTGAACAAGTGGCGCTTTAGGCTGCGTCCCAAACTCAAACGGCTCCCTACTCCCTATGTAGTGCACTAGGTATGTTCATGAAATAAAGACCTAGTCATGCAGAGATTCTAGAAAACTGTTTTAACATTCCAGGCCTTATTTATGTAGCACCTTTAATACACTGTGTTCACTTAAAGTGCTTCACAAATGAAAGATATTAAGATATTATTATATTTATCTACCTGAGACTAACTGCACATACGGAATGTGTACAACAGTATATTTCATAGTTTTATTTCATAACATTATTGTACAACTGTACATTGGAATAGTGCAATACTAGTGTATATTGTGTATATGTGTATATTCAGAGTCGGTGTATATGTATATATATATATATATATATATAGTATTTAAAATATATAAATATATAGTATTTATATATTTATATATTAATATATATTAATAGTAATATATTAATATTATATATAATAATAATAATAATTTATATAATAATAATCTATTCATATTATTTATAATTTGTTTACGTTTACATTAATATTAGTATTTGCTCAGTTCTCTTAGCTGTACATAATGTATATGTTTAAAAAAAAGATGCTCTTCAAGGGTTCTTTAGTAAAGACATTGGTTCTATATAAAAACTATATAGATTGATGTTGTATATGGTTCTATACGGAGCCAAAAAAGGTTCTTCTACTGTTATGATGTTAAGCTTCTAACCCTTTTTGGATATAGATATAGAACCCTTATCAAAAAGGATCTGTATAGAAGCATATAGAACACATTCTCCATCAATCTGAAGAACCATTTAAGCACTTATATGGCTCTATATCGGGGTTCTAATTAGAAACTTTCCTTTTACCCCATTTTGGTACTATACAGAACCGCTTTCAAGAAACCATATAGAACCATACACAGCACATTCCCCATCAGTCTGAACCATCAGCACCCTTTCACTCTTAAAACAGATGGTTTTTCAAAGGTTCTTTATTAAAGAGAATGGTTCTATTTAGAACCATGAGCCCTATATATATATAAAACCAAGAATCATGCAAACTGTTCTATCTATATGGTTCTAGACAGAAGGATCTGTCTAGAGTGCACTAGATAGGGATTAGGGGGCCGTTTAAGACGCGGCCCGAGTTTCAGAAACAGCGTGCTGGTGTGCAGGTGCTCCCCCCGCGTGAAAGAGCGCGAGTGGGATTTCCCAGCGCGTGCACCGAATTTGAAAGCGCTCGCGGAGGCCCGACGCCACCAGGCTGAGCGAGCTGTGCCGAGGAGGCGCCGACCTGACAGGCGGAGCGGAGCCGTAACCGCGCGGCTTTAACCGGCCAGTGGAGCAGTGCGAACCGCACCGGCAGGAGTTAAGGCGGAGGGATTCCGCTTTTCTGGTATTTTTTCCTTTCGTTGACGGACGGAGCGCCGCTGAAACGGCTCTGTAGGGAGGGGGCGGTGTTTCCCGCTGTCGGAGGAAGGCAGCAGCACCGGATTCGCTCTCCGTTCCGTCCGCTGCGGTTTTTCGGAGACGGAGCGCCGGGGCAAAGGTTGAACCTGCTTGTTGGGCAGCGCGGACGGGCAGCGCCGCGTAGAATGGCTGCTGGAGAAAGAGAAGAAAGGGACAAATGAATTCGGGATAGACTCGAGAGCGAGAGAGGTAAACATCTAAACATCTCCTCTCTTTGTCTCCTCCTCGACTCGGGGAAGGAAGGGGCTCTTTGTCTCGCAGGTGGATAAGAGGCTGAAGTTGGCTTCTTGTCCGAATTCCCCGTTCCACCTTAAATGGTGCAGCAGTTACATGCTGGCGCCTCGGAATGTAACTGCTGCACCATTTAAGGTGAAACGGGGAATTCGACCACCTTCAGCCTCTTGAAAGGATTATTAGGCAGAATATCAGGAATTATTTCTTACCTTCTTCTTGGAATCTTCCGTTCCACCTTAAGTGGCCCTTCAGCTAACGTTACATATAACTCAACCGTTTAAGGTGGAACGGGAAATTCGAACAACAAGCCAATACCGCGTCTTAAAATGATTATTATTAGGCAGAATGTCAGGACAAAAAACGTCTGATTTCATACTTAACTTCTCATTAGAACCTTCCGTTCCACCTTAAATGGCCCAGCGGTTACATGTAACCGCCGCACCGTTTAAGGTGGAACGGGAAATTCGACCGTCATAGCTAACTGACGTTAACGTGTTACCTTATTATAACGTGTTAGTCGGGCTAACAAAGCGGTATGGCAGGATTTCTTGGAAATATTTATTTAATATATGCAAATATTAATACAGAAAGCTCTTTTTATTTGTGTCTTGTTTTCGGTTTAGCCAAATAATCGCCGCTTCTTCCGCAGCCATGTGTCCAAGCAGCCGTTTGTTTACGTTAGCTAACAGGCTAGCTGAATAGCATAACCGAGCTAGCCCGTGTTTGCTCATTTTACACCCTCTTTTTTGGCATTCTCGCCCCTTTAAAAGACAAACGACCACCCTCTTTATGTGTCGTCTACAGCTATAACGTGATTAAGAGCTGTATTTTTGGTGGACCACTCGTGCTGACGCATTTAAAGGGGAATGCCACCAATATTTCCAAAATTTCTTCGTAATTCATTCGCTGGGCTGTCAGTAGTCATGCAGAGTAGTTTGGTGTAAAATGGTTCAGATGTCTTCACAGTGGTGTTGATAGGAACCAGAGGTCACCATGACTACAACACAAATATAGACATTTTATTTACTATCCAAAACCACCAGTGAACCTACACGAGTCTTCTGAGTTTATGTGGAATGTTGATGATGGAAAATAGTGGAAAATCTGAAATAATAAGTTTTCTTTGGGGACTATTTTGTCTCACAGCGCCCTGCACGTATCCCTCAAAACTATCATAAAACAGTGTCTCAGACATCAGACAGTGAATTCATAACCATTTCATGTAGTGACTTTCTGTGAGGGAGCTTTTAGAGGTGGACGTCTGGTTCCTATCACCACCACTGTGAACAATTCTGACTCTAGAAAGGAGTGTTTCTCACCAAACCACTCTGAACGACTTTGTTTGCATCTCAACTATTTAATTGTGTACAAATTTTGAAAAATTGTTGGACTTCCCCTTTAACATCACTGTACAGATGAATCCACTGCTAATAGTGGTTTGTACTGTTTTGACACCTGTTTAGGATGTTAGTGTGTTGGGTTGGGATGCAAATAGTGGGAAAACATACTCAGAATAAAAAACATTAACTACCTGTATTCAGTCCAAGTTATTTTTTGTGAAGGCAGTTTTCAGAATACAGTTATTTTTTTTTACATTTTTTGGCAGAATATGTTTACAATATTTCCCCACTAAGTTTAAAAAATGTACTACCTTCAAAAGAAAAGACAACCATTACTTGTTTATTAACCATTTTAAAATCACAGCATGTAAAAAATGCTTATTTACAGTCACCAAAATTCCTACTAAAGCTTGGGTCGACTGATAAATCAATGTGATCGGTTATTAATCTCAGTGTAACTGAGCTCTGCTAAAGCCTGAGTTGACTGATACATCAATGTGATCGGTTATTAATCTCAGTGTTACTGAGCTCTGCTAAAGCATGAGCAGACTGATAAATCACTGTGATCAGTTATTAGTCTTATTAGCAGTGGGATTATGGGAGCAGCAGTGGACTGAAGCAGGTGATGAAAGCCCAAAACACTGTTAAGAATTTAGTAATTTCTTTGAAATAAGTGAGTTTTTCATGAAGCATATTATCAACAACAACAAGGAACAGTGTGAGATAAATAAAACGTGCCTTATCAGTACGTAATCTGAATACGTTACTTTTTAAGTATACTTTTAGTTTTGCCGAATAAACGTGTTTGGCAGGCTGGATAGCTTCATTGTGTAGACCGTGGTAAATGTGCTGCAGTGGCACTAAACTGTTTTTCACCCAGTGCACTGAAATACTGAAGGGAGTTTTGTGTCATTTTGGCTGCTTGTCTTATTCAAATGGTTGTGGTGCCGAAAGAAAGAGGCACAGCATTAAAAATATGGCTTGTGACCTGGAAAAGATGTTTGCAAATGTCCCGCCTCCCTTAGTTACTGTTGCTGTGTTAGTCAAACTTTCTGCTTCCAGCCCACCTGATGATCAGGACTTGGTATGTTTCAATTACACCTTCAAACGTGTTCTTCAAACATAAAACATTCTCATGTTTTTCAGCCTGATCATTTCGACTAATTTACTGCCACTGACTAATTTACTGCACACTCTTTAAAAAAGATGGTTCTTCAAGGGTTCTTTAGCAAAAAAATGGTTCTATATAGAGCAGTGAGCTTTCAAAGCACCTGTTGCATGAGTAAAGGGTATTTTTTTCTTTTGGTTCAGATTGATGGAAAATGTGCATAAGTGTGCTACAGAAGGTTCTATATAGAACCTTTTTGAAAAGGGTTCCGCATAGCACCGAAAAGGGTTCTCCAATTGTAGCAAGCTTGATATTGTAACAGTAGAAGAACCCTTTTGGGTGCTATATAAAACAAAGAACGCTTTAATCATGCAAAATGTTCTTTGAGTGCTTATGGTTCTATATAGACCAATATTTGCGATTTTTTACTGAAGAACCCTTGAAGAACCATCTTTTTTTTAAGAGTGTAGGTTTGTTCTTAGCAGATTTGTCGTAGTAATAAAAATGAACTGTAGTGCAGCAACTGATTGAGTTTTATGAGTGTGTTGTAGGGTTGGGCAATATGACGATATGTATCGTGATCGTAATAAATACTATTAAAAAATGCTTTTCTGAACATTTTGTGAATATCGTCAGTACTTGTAGAACACTGACCAACTGCGTGTTTCATTGTAAAGAGAGCAAAATTAGTCCAGTTTAACTGGATTTAGTGCAGCAGAGTTTTCAAAATATTGAATAAAAATCATCGTGTTCAGTTTTTGATATTATTTTTTTAATGTAGCACTGCTTGGTCTATTTTCTCTGTTCCAACTGGTCAGATGTCTGAAAAAATACATTTTTTGACATATTGTGTATCGTGAAAATTTCTTAGAGAATCACAATATTACATTTTTGCTGTACCGTCCACCTCTACTCTAGTGTCAAATCCATAATTGTTTCAAATTGGAAACTGCTCATATTTGCATGTATGTTTTGAGCATTGCTGTAAAAGTTAGCACAAATGATTTTTTTGTGGTAAGGTTAAAATGAATGACTCTCAAAGGTGTTAATCCTAGCAACAGTTAGCATTTTCTGCATTAAGCGTGAGGGAACCCACACCAGCAGGAGCGCACTGCCTCTTCAGGCTCTCCTCATTTACTTACAAAATAACGTGTTGTGGTTTTACCTTTCCATGGATTTAGGAACAGATTAGGTTAGAATATGAGGTCACTTTGTTGTCACCTTGATATTTAGTGAAATAGGAGCAGGGCTGAAAGATGGAGGTGGGGCTGAAAGATTAATTGGTTGAAATTTTCAAATCACAAGAGCTGCAATTTTTTTATTATTTTATAGTCTATATTTTGCAAGTTTTAAATAAAAGTAATACAACCTTGTAAAATGGGGCTTGTGAACTGCTTTTAGATTGTTTGGACTAATCAGAAGCAACCAAAACATCCATGTGTTGTGACATCACAACCACGAGTTCAGCCTCAAGCCAGAAAAATGTTTTTAGCCCCAAAAAGACCCATAGCTCAATTTATAGAAAAAAAATCACAATTTAAATCGCAGTATTGGTCAGAAAAATCGCAGTTAGATATTTTTCCAAAATCATTCAGCCCTAAATGGAGGACTGTACTTGTAGTTGGCCAGGTGTTTTCCACGTTACTGCAGACGTCACTGCTGCATGAAGCTCAGCCAGGTTGCATCAGGTGAGGTTGAAGTAGGATCTCGACAGCTTTATTGGAAACACGTTAGTAAAGTTTTCCCATCCCGATTTACTTTTCAATGTGTGTCTGTTCTTCTTCTTAACAGCTGAGGAAGAGGATGGTGAGCAGCCAACCCAAATACGAGCTAATCCAGGAGGTGGGGCGGGGCAGCTACGGGGTGGTGTACGAGGCGGTGGTGCAGCGGACAGGGGCTCGCGTGGCCGTGAAGAAGATCCGCTGCCACTCACCTGAGAACGTGGAGTTGGCCCTGCGCGAGTTCTGGGCCCTCAGCAGCATCCAGAGCCAGCACCCCAACGTCATCCACCTGGAAGAGTGCGTGCTCCAGAGAGACGGCCTGGCCCAGAGGATGAGCCACGGGTCCAACTCCTCTCTATACCTGGAGGTATGTGCGCAGGGAATTATGGGACATTGGAGTTTGCAGAAGGGATAGTCTTAATGTTTTAATCTAATCTATATCTGCTGCATCTGTAGTACACACAAAAAGATGGTTCTTCGAGGGTTCTTTAGTAAAGAAAATGGTTTTATGTAGAACTATGACCATTCAAAGAACCCTTGCATGGTTAAAGGGTTATTTGCATCGTTAAAGCGTTCTTCAGATTGATGGAGAATATGCTGTAGATGGTTCTGTAAAGGGTTCTATATAGCACCAGAAAGGGTTCTTTTATTGTTACAGGCTTGACATTGTGACAAAAGAAGAACCATTTTCAAAAAGGTTCTATGTAGAACTATCTACAGCGCGTTTTCCATCAGCCTGAAAAATGCTTTAGCAATGCAAGGAACCATTTAATCATGGAAAGGGTTCTTCGAGTGTTCATGGTCCTACATAGAACCGTTTTCCTTTTTAAGTGTGTAGGGCTCAACCAATATGTGTTTTTCTGGGCTGATACCCAGGCCTGTCACCACCATCAGGTAATCATGTGGCCATATAAGTAAAGGTATTATTGCTATATAAATAATTGGCTAGTGAAGTCCAGAGCAGCTAAATTTGCTAATTAGCTGTCTTTCTTAGCTCTTTACTTTGCAGCTGATCGCACTGCACTGCACTATGTGTAACAGGTGTCTAGTTAACGAAAGCTTATATTTTTTCTTGAAAATGCAAATGAAAACCATTTATTCTGCAAGCATGCAAAGAAAATTATCATTAGCTGTAATACCTATCAAAATAATAGACAAACATTCCCCCTAGTGTTACAGCACACAGTTAAAAAGATGTACTTCACTTATTTACATTAGCTCAAACCAACTAATAAAAACTCTTAGGCTCATGTTGTGTTTGCTTTGATACAATAAAATTGCAAAATCTGACGTGTGGGAAATAATTGCGGGCAGGCGATTATGTAACAACTGTGACATGCCTATCAGTACGGACATAATGTTTATCGGTAGACAAGCAGGCCATGATTTGTTTTTAGTTGGAAAATTTACCAGAAGACAATTTCTACATAAAATGAATCCTAAATATTAAGCATAATGCTTAATGATGTAGCAACAGTGAACATTTGATTATTACAAAGTACAAATGGTGGTACATTTTCAAAGCAAACTTTAAATCACTAAGTTTGAATACCACTGTTTTGTAATTTTTACTGCACAATTTCTATTTATTTACCAAGTTCAATGTAGTGGGGGAAAAAAATCAAACACTTTAAATGTAAAAAAGAATTGTAAATGTGTCACAATGTTTGCACAGGCCGTTTATCCCCACCAGTGTGTTAAATTCAGTCAATAAATTGTAATTGTGCATTAAAATGTGCAGAAGTGTGTTCACTGTAGAGAATTACTTATTTTCAATCAGAAAATCAACAAAGACATGGAATTTGCACAGGATGTAATGAAATTAATAATTCTGCATAATCAAACACAAACATTAAGGTCGCATGCGACAGGCTTTGATTTTGCTGAGCACCTGTATTTAGCTGGCATCGAAGCCTATGTAATGTTTCTCTTGTCGTTATTATTAATCATTATTTCTGCAGATAATTTTTGTTTACCATAAAGATCAGTTTATTCAGTGTTTAGTTTGTGTCCTCAATATTATAAGTTATACAAGCGAACGCACCGGGTATCAACCACAGAACTGAAAAAAGAAAAAGAGAATCTTATTGGTTTTACTCAGTCAGCAGTCCAGGTTTCAGCCAAGTGGGTGGGCCATGAGCCAGGCTCTTCGCTCTGATTGGCTGTATTTGATATGTCAAACTTGGATCAACAAGTCGAGGTCAGACATCGAGCCAGGAGAGTTTCTGTCAGTCATTGTTGTGTTACAGATGTGCAACAGAAACCTGTTGGCTGAAGAAACTGAAGGGGGAAGGGGTTTCAACAGCTGCCCATTGGCTTCTATTAGTAGAGCGCTCTGACTCTCAAGGTTTCAGTTCTTTTCTATTCTAAGTTCAGGCAAATGCATCAACATTATTCCCCTTGATAATTGGCCGTTTGCTACAGATGCAGCTGAGAGAGATTAGGAGTTGCTGGAGTGCAGCTTCCCTGCTGTAATGTTTTCTCTGCTCTAACTCTAGTTGAATTCACCTCAGGAGGGCAGTTAAAAAGTTTATTGGCTTCATCAGGTGTGTTGGGATCAGGGGAAACTCTACAATGTCCAGGTACAGGAGGTTTTTGGGCAGGTTTCCAGACCCACACTGGGCCTAAACCTGGACCTGAAGGATTTTCAATAGTGATTTGCTGGCTGTGTTTACATGCAAAGATTTTTGCCAGTTCAATTGAATAGATGGCAAGTAACAGATCCAGACTCATGCGCATGCATAGAGATCTGCGTAGTGTAGACGTTACCATGAAAACAAGCATCACGTGAGTCCAGTCAGAGTGAGATGAGCAGCAGTGAGCAGTGCTTGTGTTTTTAACTGCTTTAAAATGATGTGTGACTCAGGAAAACGTCCTTCACATGTCCTTATTAAAGAAGGCCGAGAGGAAGACGTCGTGTTTTGAGACACATAAGCTGGACGTCCGTCCCACCGCCGTCTTTTAAAGATCAGAGCATAAACTTCGTCTCCTCTGCAGACCAGTTTCTGCTCCGCCATGTTGAACGGTATAAACTTTCACTATGACGCGACGAACATGACTTAAACTTTCCGATAGGGAATGTAATCAGATACAGGCGTTTACACGGATATTATTCTTCTATTTAACGGATTATTTACAGGATTACCCACCTCGATCAGTCGGATAGAAACTGTATTCCGAATGGCCTCAATCGGACTAGACTATTCCGATTGAGCTATTAGTCAGATTGTAAACAGATTATTAGGCTGCATGTAAACATGGCTAATGTTGGTATTGCAGTGTAGTCCAAGATGAGACATAATCCGTGGGATTATTACGGGAAACCAATTTTATATATTATCTACACTGCTCTCTTTTGAAGCGGCCAAGGATACCATCAGACGTTGCACACAGTCTGAGTCTGTTGCTGTGTTCATGATAAATGGGAACTTGAAGTTTTACATCTTGGAACTTCCTGCTTCTCACCTCAGTGTGTTCATACAGCCTTGTGGTTGTGAAACAAAGGATGCTCACAGTAAAGTAGTCCTGGTTTGCCACAGAAATCTTGCACTTTACCCTCTGCTTGTTCACATATCTCCATGTATTTTGTGATCATATAGCACAGGGATCAGCAGTCTTATCCTCACAGGGCAGCTTAGACAGCAGGTTTTTGTTCCAGCCGAGCGGGAGCACGCCTCATAAACGATCAACTGTTTGGAGGCAGAAATAAAGGCTGTTTGTGTTGAAGATTGGCAAGCTTTGTTGTAGCGTATTAAAAATAAATATTAACTCAAAAGGCTGCTTAAAAACACAATTTCTTATTCACAGCACACCGTGTTCAAGTGCTGTCACTTAATTACCACTCTGAGAGGTCGTTGAGAAGCTCTGGATTACTGAGTGAGAATTACATAGTTGAAGGGATGCTCAAGTGGGTTTTTTGTACTTCGGTTAGAAACCTCCCACTTGTGATTTGCTCATGTGTGCAGCTTTTAGTCCGCCAAAGTTTAGGCAGCTCCAGCACTTCCAGTTTAAGTTTTGGGGATCTTATATTTCTGCATATATTTGTTTTCTCAGTCTGTCACGCTTGATTCAATTTATTGTTTAAGATGAAGATTAAGTGGTGAATGAGTTCAGTTTATTAAGGAAATTCAAACCACACTAATGGAACCTCAAACCAAACGATGCAACTTTTTAACCAAACATTGAGTAAACCTGGCCGACTGAAATGTTTCGGTAACACTTCACTTGAAGGCTGTCTACTTAACACATTCATAACATCTTACATAAACACTTCGTAACATGTTCACGAATGTTTAAATCAACGTTCATGAAGTATACATGTTTTACATGACCTTAATATGGACTACCATGTCATTTTACTGAGACCGTTTTCAAAATAAAAGTCCTCGTTTTTTATTTTGAAAATCATTTTTTTTTATTTTCAGGGAAGTGCCTAATTTCTGGACCGCCAAAATAAAAATGACCTTGCTTTACCGCTTTGGTCATTAAGTGCTTTGACACTCAGGCACATTTTCCCTATACTTTCAACTTTTTTGTCGAAAATAATTATTTTTTTCTTAAGCATTTGTATTTTGCATTTTTATTCTTTTTCCTTTTGACTCTGTCTTCTTTAAAATGTTAATGTGCCAAAGGGTTAATTCAACAATACATTGTTGAGGAAAGTGGTTTTTATCCTAAGTTTAACTCTCTTGGGGTTTAATGCTAGCACTGTCATTGATGTTCTTTCTCGCCTATGATTTTGAAGAAGGCATAAGTATAATTGTGCATTGGTCATCTTATTTGACACTCTTTGAGGCTAAACAGTGCACTGGTATCCCGAGAATTAATAAATTCTGTTTTATCTTAACCTCAGAAGTGATGGAAGCTAACCAGACTGAAAACCATGTTATGTGGATCTTTAAATTGCAATCCAGTGTTGTCTATTTACACTTATGTGGCTGTCCAGCTTCTACAGCAAATGGATAAGTATTATCGCCTGTGAGATTCCTTCATACAGTCCCACCACCACACTAAGATTCTTAGTAATTTACTTTCCATATAATAAACTGACATGCAAGTCAACAAACGCTTAAGAAAAAAGAAATAAATAAAAAGAAGTTGTAAGTGCATGTGATACGTGCCTGAGTGTCAAAGCACTTAATCATTTAATAAAGGGACGAAGCAAGGTCATTTTTATATTGTCTGACCAGAAATGAGATGTTTCATTGAAAAAAAAAAAAATAAATAAATAAATAAATAAAAATAAGGGACGAGATATATATATGTGTGTGTGTGTGTGTGTGTGTGTGTGTGTGTGTGTGTGTATATATATATATATATATATATATATATATATATATATATATATATATAATTTTTTTTTCAAAA